TTTAATCCCCTCCCAAACACGAGTGAAACTTTATCATAAAATAATAAGCAGATTGTCATGCACTAGAAGCAGTTCACTCTCAAGCTGAGATCGATCGAATTCTAAACTTATAATTGCCATAATGATCCATTGAACGGTTATCAAGTTGTGATCGATATTATGAACTATTATAGCACTTAAAACTCATGACTGATACAGTAAATTGTTGAACGTTTATGAAGATATCATAAAGCTATGTTTCCATGGTATCATTATTATGATAATACATTTCAACATTTCCAACGTGTGTATATAAACTAGGAAAATCAAACCGCTCGAACGTTATCTGCATATATAAATGCTCCGAGTGCTCTAGAGCATATATAGCATGTACTTCCAGAAGACTGACAGATCAAGTCAAGGAGCACAGTTTACCAAGATACGTAGAAGTTTCTAACATTCTGATGATAGATTATAGTAAAATTCCGGTAAAAAGCGAGTAGCTTAAGGTCATTGGCTAAGTTTTACATATAAAGGGGTCTTTGACTATTAAACTCTTTAAACCGAAACTGAATAAACTGTCGAGAACTGGTGAACTGTTTTTGAAAGTATAATAAAAACTAAAGTAGCAATATTAAAATGACCTTCACATCACACTGACCTACACACTAAAAGATGTCTAGAAACATATGGAGAGAACAAAGACATGGAAGCCACGATATTTGTACACTTTTGGTCTGCCATTGTAAACTTTTCTCTCACAACTCTTTAAATCTATAAACGATAATATTTTCAAATATTCAAAATCTCTACGTATAAGTGACGTTCCTTGGATTTTTCGTGTATATCAAGTGTGCTCTAAAACACATGTTTTGTGAAGCTGCTACTTGTTTTACATAATATAGGGTCTGAAATAACACTTTTGCTAACACTTGTCAAATGTGATGCTATCAGCAAAACGTAGAGGTGATTCCTAAATCATGTCAAAATATATTTTTGTCCAGGTAGTGCAATAAGTTAATAAAATGCATGAAAGGGTGTTTTGGAGTACAAGAAACTTAAAGATATAAAAGTATATTCAGATGGGACGAGGGGAGGTTGAAGATCATATGTGATAATTATCATATCAGAGAAGCATTGGTCGAAGCTGGTAATTTGGAGAACACATATCAAAAGTGACCGTCTGGAAAATAAATTCTTAACTACCATTGTACATTATATAGAAAAAGATAAGCGAGGAGTGGAAGAGAGATATTTAAGAAAAAAATTGACTTCAAGGGCCAGAGGGCTTGTGGCTCAAGATAACAGACGTCGTCACCCATGGTTCGTCCTATGCTTCACTTTGGCACGTAAGTCCCTGTTAAAGTCGGCCGAAACATTCTGTAACTGTAGGTTCACGTTGGTCCATTAAAGTGCATCTGGCCTCTTGCCTGAAGGTTTAAAAAAATGTATCGCAGAAAAGAGGAGCAAGGGAATGCCTCCCAAGACCGTGAGTACAACATTCCACGCATAAACCGGGGCATATGGTCAGATCAATTTACACTTCCCACACACGTCCGACTGGAAATAACCTCCCGCCCCCTCCCAAGCTTCTTCTCTTAATGTTTCCACCACAGGAAGTTCGGGATGATCCACTGCACTCTTTTTGAAAATCATATAATAATTTGGCATGGGTTAACAAATGATAGTTATAAAAATGTGTGCCTTCTTTAGATTCATCTTTTCAACTATTGTGGTCAGGATATTACAAATAAAGGGCTAGAAAAGTAAACGTTTAAGTGATACACGAGTACTTGAACATTTCCTGAAGTCTTCCTAGAACACGTTCAGCAGTCGTTCATGTAACAAGCAATAACGCTACTGGCAAAGTAATTAAATTCTTGTAGACAGTAATATTTAATACAAAAGAATGTACAAAATATGGAAACTCCGAACTACTTTTATTTTACATTTTTATCGCTATTTCCGTCCTAGAAAACTACGTTTATATCACAATACCAATTTATCATTAATAACTTACACATTAAAAGGGCAAACTTGTCATTGCTCATTCAGTTATTTGGTAAATCTCCATGTTATTCTACATGCATGGTTTTTTTATTATCTCCGCCTCTTCTGACCTCGTTATTTTATTCCGTATTTTCTCTGGAACATTTTATTCCCTTAATAATATTTTGTTTTTTCTTTCTCACTGACCTCTTCCTTATCTTCCTGTTTGCTACCGTATCACATTTTAATTAAAAAAGAGATTACTGTAACAAAAAATAGCATAGTATACAAAATAATATTTATGGACCTACATTTCTACGAACTGCTGTTGGATATTTAACAATTAATTTGTGAAAATCAATAAATGTTATAGCTTTCGGCTAAATTCACCTAAATACAGTTGTCATGCACATACAACTTCAGATACAAATAATTATTAAAGCTTTTTACACGCCAGTGTAACATTAGAGAATATAATAAATACGGGGAATATTATTTTTAATTCTGATTGAAACGATGAAAATAACGTACTTCCCACATTAATGAAACAGGAATTCTTCGTTCATCAGCTACCTTTAAGTATCATTCTAATAATGGTCACGCTGGATACTATCAACTGATGTTTGAACAGTGTAAATGACAATGAAATGCTTTTGTCTAACTGGGGCATTATTAAGAATGATAAAGCACCATAAGTTGTTTACATCTCTTACAACAGAATAGTGTTAGCAATTCTGAAGTGAGCTAACTGAATAAGAACATTAAAGTATCCCACAGATTATCGAAACTAACCCGAACTATCTGATATTATGCATCATATCGCAAGAAAATTCAGACTTCTAACGATTAAAGAGTATTGAATTATGGTGGTGTTTTGACTAGGTAAGATACCAATCTATAACTTTTGTCGTGTAAACTAACAAGATATTTTAAAACACTTTAAACTGTACATGAAAGTCACGATGATAATTCTTGTGATCAGAAGCTCAAAGACCCATGGAAATTAAAATGATAATCCTTGTGATCAGAAGCTCAAAGACCCAAGGAAATGACAATGATAACCCTTGTGGTCAGAAGCTCAATAACCCAAAGAAATGACAATGATAATCCTTGTGGTCAGAGGCTCAAAGATCCATGGAAATTACAATGATAAACCTTGTGGTCAGAAGCTAGGAGATCCAAGGAAATCACAATGATAATCCTTGAGGTTAGTAGCTCAAAGTCCAAATAGTTGATTAATCTTTCGCGATACAAAGAGAAATGTTGTCCTCAATTTTTACAAGTTTATCTAACAGACTTCAGCACTTGCTCTCGTGAGAATTGTAAAATGCATTTTTTCAAGAAGAACAAAATTGGTGTTACCAAGGGCATCCTTTAATGAGCACTGTAAGCAAATGTTATAACCTTAAAAAAATTAACAAATCCCTAGCCATTCTAAGTCAACCGAATTAGACATCAAATGAAACAAATCGTTAGATTATCCACAAATATATTTTGAAATTTACCAATAGTATATTCTATCTTAAATCACCTTGTATATGTTGAAAAGGATATATATATACATATTTACAGAAAATAGTCTGTAGTAAATTAACTGTATCTTAATAATTTTGAATTAGTTGTTCACGGAAAGACGTTTTAGTATATTTTCCAAACCATTAGAGATAATAACTTGTAAAGGAGAAACGATAACTTTGATCTCATTAAAAAAAGAAGAAAGAATAACAACAACAAGTGAGACTGGAAAAGTTAAATTAAGGTGTGTCACGGTACTTAATATGTGCATTAAAACTGGTATATCTGTGCCATCAGTGATATATTTAATAATGACATGCTTTCGATGAGTTATTTTGTCAGTGCAAAGCAGATTGAACAGTTCTTTAGTGCATGTCAGTCTCATAAGAACACACACGAGCTTATCTGATGCCTAGAATAATTTCAATCAATCAGTAATGTTTTATACCGGACTTTGATACTTATGAACAGCCAAACAGGAGTGGTGAAACACCTGGTAATTCAATACTTGTTGACATACCAGTAAAATACATAGCCAGCACACATTATAGAAGTACAGTATATTGGGGGAATGGGGGATTCCAAGTCTACGAACATGTAGATGAACAGGTAAGCGTGATGAAATCATACTGTACAAAGCTGAAAATTTGGGATTTTATATTTATTATTATTATATAGGGTGGTTAAACGATTTCTGCACAGTTAGTTAACAGTGGCTATACATGTTTTTGTAAGCGTACTTACATATAAAATATAATTTAATTACAAATCGTCAGTGTGGAATTTAACAAATGCTATTTGGAAATATTTGTGACTTTTATTTAGCTGGGTCCTTGACTACAATTATTCGATAAAAAATATTAATTCGAGTATAAAATTGGCCCAACTTTCCAGATTTTCTTCTCGTTTAGTAACTACTTCCCAACCTATACAGAGGGTTGATACGTTATACTAAATCGATTTTAAATATGCAAATCAGCAAACCATGTGGTAACCACAACCGATATAAAGTAGCGTTGGAACGAATATATTAAAACTACATTTTGATATGGATTGGGATATCGTAGATATTGTGATACTGTTGAAAATTATTCACTTTTGTAACAGTCCTTTCCTAAGCAAAATATTCACATACTCAGATGTGTTGAGATCGACGATTTAGAATTTACAAGACAGAGATAACATTTGTACTTAATGGCTGTGAAAAACAAAGGAATATGGATCAATCTGGATAACAAAGAACATCCAGAAAGAGAATTGTAGCAAATGGTATACCAACTGTGGTAAGTTAAACGACGTCTTGCAACAGGTGAAAATCCATGAACACAAAGGTCAATGGCAAAAGCCAACGCGTCTCTGAAAACAATACGCAACATTATGAAAAGAATCTCCGCTAAAAAGAGTGACACAAGTCATGTGCACACAAGTTGCTTCCACGACATATCCGTTCAACACTCACATACTTTAAGAAGATCAAATTAAAATATGTATTCTTGCTATTCCATATGAAGACTTACCAGTAAAGTCGCGAGATGCAGCATCTATAGATTTATGAGGATCGTATCGTTGCAATGGACGGTGAGAAACCGTCATCTTCGTACACTATATATCTATATCATAGAAAGCATGGAAGGAGTAGTGGTGTGCTTTTGACATGACAGCCTTAAAACGATGCCTTTTGCAATAAGAATTACATTGCAGGACTATCGTAAGATAGAGCATGACCATATGTGGCGAAATGGACTGTAATGATGTGGTAAGGCTCCAAAATCGTTTTAGTATCACGTATCAATCCCCATAGTATGTATAAAACACTGATCATCGATTGTCAATAATAGTAGTTTCTAACATATTACAAAACAAATACGCTATAGTTTCAAACAATAGCGCACCAAAGCCTGGGAAAACAAGTATGTAATTTTAATATTAAATATTACATCAATATTGCAAACTTCTGCCCACAGTTTGTCCGGTTATGATCACTAGCTATTATGTCTTACATCAAGTCACTTTAAGACTTTCAGAAAAAAACATTATGTAAACAATAAGACTAATCATCTTGAAATAAACTGAAAAGTTTCTATCAAATTTGAATAGTTTGTATTTAAGCACAAAGCTACACAATGGGTATTTGTGATGTGTCCACCACGGGTATCGAAACCAAATGTTTAGCGTTATAAGTTGTTTGGTTTGAATTTCGTGCAAAGCTACACGAGGGCTATCTGCGCTAGCCGTTCCTAATTTAGCAGTGAAAAACTAGAGGGAAGGTGACTAGTCATCATCGCCTACCGCCAACTCTTGTGCTACTCTTTTATCAACGAATAATTGGATTGACCGTCACATTATAACGCCCCCACGGCTGAAAGGATGAGCACGTTTGGTGGGATGGGGATTCGAATCCGCGGCTGTCAGATGTCGAGCGTCCTAACCACCTAGCCATGCTAGGCCAGCGTTATAAACACTCAGACGCCCCCAGTGGCACAGCGGTATGTCTGCGGACTTACAACGCTAGAATCCGGGTTTCGATACCCGTGGTGGGCAGAGCACAGATAGCCCATTGAGTAGTTTTGTGCTTAATTACAAACAAACAAAACATTCAGACTTACGCTGAACCACTAAGAGGGAAAAATATCGAGTAGAAACCATAGCAAAATTGATTTTACTTAGGTTTTAGAAAAAAACAACAACAACTAAAGTGTACTAAGCATTTTCATTTAAGAATATGTAGGTTTTTAGTTGACTTAAAAAAGCTAATACTTGTTGATACATAATATAAAGAACCGCTGAAGTTATGCGTGATATTGTTCAGTTAAAGTATTTAAAATAACGAGATGTTATTATCTTATTGTGGGACCTTGAGGTTAGCCCCCAGTGGCACAGCGGACTTACAACGCTAGAATTCGGGTTTCGATACTAGTGGTGGGCAGAGCACAGATAGCCCTTGTATAGCTTTGGGCTTAGTTACAAACAAACAAACCTTGAAGTTAATTAAAAATTATTTCGATTCTAGAAATTATTCGATTTGCACAGCCTGCAAAAATATCGAAAGACAATTTGATTTTATATTTAGAACAAACCAACTCTGCCAAGCTTGGAGATTTTCCTTAAAAAGATTAATAACCTAATCCCTCCACTCTGCTACCATGACATGTGTTATTATTAATAAAGATCATCCTTATCTAAAATACACAGTGAACTTCTCCTTAAGCCTTTTTGTTTAATATATATATATATATATATATTA